GACATCTCGCAGGGTGACCGCTCAGTCGTCTATCTCCACATATCCCCATGTATATATATCTTTTTGTTTTTAAAAAAATAAAACGAAAAGGAAAAAAAAGAATGTGGAATTACTGCGAGACGCTTCACAAGTCAAAGCACATTGGATCGATAATTCAAACATATTCGACCGCTGAATTAGATCGGTGCGTTATCCATCTGGACCGTTATACACCGTCATGCGAATTTTTTATATATCTCTGACAACTCAAGTAAGATTAGTTTTTTATTTTTACCGCTGAATTAGATCGATGCGTTATCCATCTGGACCGTTACACACCGTCATGCGAATTTTTTATATATCTCTGACAACTCAAGTAAGATTAGTTTTTTATAATTCCGACATTTCATACCAATTTTATGTAGGCTTAGTGTCAACGGCTGAATTTTGTAAACGAAATGCGATAACCTTGCAGCGTATACTTATTTTTATTTTCATTAATTTCATGTTACTTTCTTTCTCGAATTTTCGTTCACTGAAGATGGCCAAAATAAATAAGCCGAAACGTTTAAATTAACTAATTGTTGACTTTTCTTTACTGAGCAACCAACACCCAGCTCTGGGCTGACAAAGCTATATTTTTTAATATAATAATTTGTTTATTAAAAAAGCCCAAATAGACAATTTCTTTATTTTTAATAAGTGTGCAATATTTTATTTAATGCTTTTATCTTATATGCGTATTAGTGATGTGTCATAACTCACATTGGTTTTTTGTTCTTTTTAAATTTGATGTAAGTAAATAATTACATGATTATAATTTCGACAAATTTATATAAAAATGTTCAATTTTTTTATCCCGAGAATGAAATTACGTGATTATGATTCAATCTTGTTTAATCGTTCATTAGAAGATTGGATCATTACTACATTAATGTACTGGGAGTGTCTAGTGTACTTTTGCATAATTCTCACAATCAACGTATATGACAATAATTGTCTATTAAACAGCTATTTACAAATCACGTAACATCATATTGTGGATCCGGAATATCGAGAATGTCAAATATCGAACGAATATAATATCGAATTGTCATAATGCTAATTATGAATAACCACAGTTTTCGATATTTATAACTTATGTTTATTTCGATGCTACTATTTAACCGCTGCAAATATGGCACATGTGTTTGGCGTTGGAAATGTCGAAATTTTGTCATGTTAAGTCCAATTGTCGTGCTATTAACGAACATCAGGAGTGTCCAAACTCAGTCAAGCGAATAAATTAACTCGATGATTATTGCGCCATTAACGAACGTTGAAAACGTATGCATCAAGTTTCGTGCGATTAACAAATTTCCATTATTTACCGATGCACAGGGCGTGTACAAATGTTGTAGTATATAAATAAAAGACCGAGAACGCTGAATCGAAAATGGTGCAAATTGATGCGTACGATCGTAATTAGTTATGGCTCGATCGATACTCTTTGTGAGAAAAAAATATCTTTCAATAGGTAATAACTAACTGAATAAAAATCAATTTAATAATAGTAAAGCAATAGAACGAGCAATTGATAAATGAATTTGCTTTATATGTTTCTGCACAACAGTAGTGTAGCGTTTTATTCTTTGTATATGTATAACTGTAGTATTGTTTCGGATATTATTGTAATATAAATGTATTTATATTTTGCAGGTAAACTTTGTGTGCGTAATCGGTGCTACGAAATGTATTCGTTCCGTCGTAATATAATAAAATGCGCGTCGGGAGTGCCGTTTAAAGTGCCGCGCGATTTTCGCTTTCGGGTATGCATGTCAGCATGCCATGCGTGCGCCGCGAACGCGTGTGAGTGTCTCGAAGGAGAGGCCTAGGAGGCATCGGGCGACAGCAGAGCAACGATACGGTAAGAAATTATTATAAAAAATGCATCTTTTTATAGTAATAGTGAAGAGGCTAGTTCAATGTAAATGGTCTCAGAAGTATAATTATATAATTATATGTTTAGATGGCACACATTGGCACTGGACAACTATAAAAATGCATCAATTGGTGAGTCAACTCATTCATTATACATGCGTAATTAATTTCACATAACAAAGATCTGATGTTATGTAAAATTAGTTACGTATGTATAATAAATCATCTAATCAACGTTTTCATAAACACAAACGATTTTAACTGAATTTAAAACTGATTTGTCTTCTTCTATTTTTGCATTTGAAAAAAAGTAAAAAATAAAGTTACTTTTAATTAATATTTAAAATGTATAATGCATCCGTTGTGCTTTATTAACTTTTGCACTTTGGCAGCAAATGTTAAGCAAAATTATCTTGATCTTTATTTTATAACAGTAATTTTATTATTTTATTTTTTTTATGCTATGAGTAAAAAGAAGTATGGAAGCGATTCGCCATTTCAGCGTTTTTCGTAGATTGCTTACCGATTCCTGTTCAATACTGCTATTCACATCAATTTTACAGTTTAAATTATATAGTCAAATTTATTTTTTATGACATCCGTTTGATACATCCATTTTATATTCATCAATATAAATAGGCTAGAAAAGATTAAGATAAAATTGGTGCATTATAAAAATAAGTATTCTTAAACAATTTTCTATTACATTATGTTAGAATATATTATGTAAAATATTTGATATTATTAATTTATACTTATCACATATGCATTTTTAAAAATTTAATTTTAAAAGGATAATACGTACCTCAAAATTATTTAGAAAATATTAAGGAAGAGAAAATAAAGAAGATACCTAAAAAAAATTATGAATTATTCAAAGTATTTATTCTTGCAATGCGCCAATTTTATTCTAAAAAAATTTATTTTTATTTTTCCTAGCTTATTTATTTATATTTATTGATAATTTTATTCACAAAGGGAAATGATATTGATGCGCTTAATAATTGCGTGCAGTATTCATCAATCATCAATTAGAGATACACTTTATATAATTAAATTAAAGTACGTATATTCTCGATATACGATTTATGCATTAAAATACATATACCAAACAGAAATATCATTTATCTATTGAAGAAAAGATGTGACACTATGCATTTTGAATTATAAAATAGTTGCAGATAGCAATACTGAATAGAAATCAGTAAACATATTTCAAAATATGCTATGACAACTTCTTTCATACTCTTCTGCGCTATGTGACAACAAATCTTCTGTGATTATACATATATATTTTATGTATAACATTCTATGTATTAAGATTATATAAAAAAACCGGCGATTCTTACATATATTATATTATGTAGGACTATACATATAACTTGATGATCTCTCTCTCTCTTTCTCTTTAAAGACAACATAAACTGGTTTTCTTAACCAGTCTAAAATATTATGGTGTCAACTTTATATTAATTGGTACCAAGTTTATATTATCAGTTGATCCTTTATGACTGATTTTATTCTGACTACTATACCCAATTATATTCACGCAAAAAAAAAATTTGGTGAAAAATAAGCACAAGAGAATAACTTAGATTTTTGGTAGTTTTACCTGTTCTCTCACTCGAATCTGCCCGGTATACCAAGTCAGCAACATCATCTTCAGCACGAGCACGCACGACCACCAAGCGTAAATAGACCACCATAGCTCGTCTTTCGCCTCGTTTGCAACCACGTTTGCCAGCATTGTCTCTGGTGCGACCTGTTTAGTGTTCTCTCCGCGTCCGCAGGGAAACCCAGCGTGTTACTGGCTATATATTACTTGTGGTCTCTTGTCTGAACTGGCGGGGATCCTATTAGCAAGTCAAATGCATGAGACGGCGATAGGTAATCCGACGCGCAGATAGACGAGCGGGAAGGTTTAAATGCGAGCCTTCGCGTCGCGAGACACGCGTAATTCTGATTTGAAGTAGTATGTACACCAGCATATATACTATTAAATACTGATTTAATATTATTATTAACAGCAACAGATATCGATAAAAATTTAGAGCAAGAAAATCTTGAAACTTTGAAAAATCTGATCAGTAGAAACAAAAATGCCCGTTAATTTAAGATTTAGTTCTTTAAAAGCAATCAATTTCTTTCTTAAATTTAGATTTAGAATAATTATGATGAAAGAGGCATTTTGTACGGAAGAGATTCCTCAAAATGGTGAAAATTAAAAAATTACAATTATCTATGAGTGTCACTAGTTTAGTTTGCGATAGCCCTTAACATTTATTACGAACTTAATGATTAAAAATAATTAATTTTTTTCTAAATAGGTTGCTATATTATATGTTTACATATATACCATGTCTTGCTTGAGTAAACTTAAACAGGAAAGTTTTATTTGCAAAGTCAATACAATGTGCATTGTACAAATATTTATAATGCTCCCAACATCTGGCGTTATTTCTGTCATAAATAATTTTTACTAATCAAAATTGTGTAAATTGTGTTATTATTGTTTTAGCACTCTTTTTTTTTAATGATATTGCATAATAGACGAACAAATTAGTGTCTTATGTTTCTTGTGAACTTTATTTGATATGTGACTGTTAAATCATTTCAATTTGCGTTATCTTATTTTTAATATAATTTATAAAGATTTGACGGCGGTCTTGTTAAACTTTGCAGTGAAACTTTTTTGTTATTTTTAAAACGAAACATAATTTATTAATATAATTTTATATACGACAGACTACAAACGCCATTGCGCGATATTGCTCTTCTTTATGTTCGACATTCTCGATACCGAGATCAGGTCGTTTCCAAGAAAGAAATCTGTGGCAACAATGTTTGTTTCTTTCCACCACTCTTCTTGAAATTTGACAGTGAGATTTCGGTTAACAGAATCAGCCATCTGCCGAAGTCCACCTGATAAATTAAAGAAAAGATCCAACGCGTATGGCGTTAATTCTGCCATTACTGCCCACAATGGATTTTCGCTATTCCTGCGTCTCTTTGATCCCGATATCTCTTCGTTCAAGTACTCGAATAGACCCTCCGCAGTTTGTTGATTGCCCCATGCTTGCGTCAAAGGTGGCCACAGCCAGTCATATTCTAAATTAAAAGGGATTAAATGAGAATTATTATAACATTTCTAAAAATTAAAAAGCAAATTAATAGTAAAATCCTGTTTTTATCTGTTTTTAATTTCGTAAATTTAAAAGTAAATTTTATTTTTTAAGTCATTTTTACTTCTAAAGGCTTTATGAGGCTTTGTAAGATAATTATTTTTTAATTTTAAATAATTTTGGAATGGAAAAACATCGTTTTCACAGTCGCTATACATATATCTTATAAAAAAAATCACAATTTTTTATATTCTATACATACATAATTTGCAATTATATAGCATAACAAGGTAACTTATACGATAAAAAATTTCTTTACCATTTACTACGTGCTTATTGTTATAACAAATAATTAATCTCTTTCCGCTGGTCCAGATGTCATTTAACGTTGGTCCCAAACCTTCAATTCCTCTGTCCGGCTTCAGAATTAAGCCTTCGAACACTTGACTTAAAATATCTACTAATTTCCGATGTCTATTTGGCATGTCTTCGAAACCCACAGGAAATCTGTTTATCAATTTCTATATTAATTATCACTACAGACTCCAAATATATTGTGAAGCGCAATATCTATTAAAATAACGTTCCCGTGACAAATCGGGATAGATAATATGCAAAAAATAAAAACTAAAAAATATTTTCTATCTTTTTAACGCATTAAATCGCGCGCGTGAAAGATAATTGGACGATAATTTAATTAACGTCATATATTTAATCGCATTTTCGGAGCAATTTTGTTGTAACATTTATTTTTAACGACTGTTTATCCGAATAAATTTTACAGTCAATAACGCGAGTTCCATTTAGAATAAATGCGTGTTTTCGCGAATTGAGAGCTTACGACATAATATTTCAACAGTATTGAATTTTATGCATTTGTGACTTGCCTATGAAAATCCATAATGACAACCTCACCCCTCGCCGCGTCTAGAAAATTTCTCACGTCCCTCAGGATTTCGGAAAGAGGTGTCATGCGAAGGATATCGTGGTTAACCCAGAATCGGCTCACATTGTTGCCCTCCTCATCGAATGTGGTACCGTTTGATATCGACGGGTAATAACCAACCCTGATATCAAGATATCTTATGCCGTGTACTAATTGCGTCCACACATCACGATCTTGCGTCATCAAGTACTGCTGAAATGCGTCCTGACGCGTCGAATCGCCATGCTTGTAACAACCGGAATTATGTGTCCCGGGTATCATCAGGCTACCGATAGGAAGCATGCCGATTTCTCTCCTTTGACAACATAAAAAAAACATTTTCCCGTATTAATAGCAGTTAATTCACGCATAATTATTATTGGTCATCAAATTAAATCAATCATAAAAAATAATTGCAACAAATAATATTAATATGTGATATTATTATTTTACATGGGATATTGAACACATTGTTACGTGTAAACAGTTTTTTCTAAATTTGTTAAATTTCCACGAAAATAAAATATATTATTTTCCACACTTTTTGGTAGAAACATATTTGTGAACATTTTACAAAATGTTTTACCGCCTCGATAAACATTTAAACGAACTCGTAAAACATAAAAAAAATTGTTTGAAATGCAAGTGCAATTGTTTGTAATTTTTAAAAACATGTACAATACCTCAAATCGTACATCCAAGTTGGCCAAATTTGCAAACAAGACGAGGAAGATATATCACCATCTTTGTAAAGAACTGCGTAATAATCAAGACAATGTTGTCCTGGAAGGGTTGTGTTTCCATTTTTTGTGTTCCACCCACCTGGTAGTGGTGGACGACCGACTGTAATATTTGTTCTATAATAACCTCGAGGATGTTCCAAAGAAGTCAAGGTTAGTTTGGGCTCTATCGTTTCGTCTGAAACAAACAAGATTCGTGTTTGCGTCCACACATTTTTTGGCGTTTCAAGTTAGATGGATAGCGAGAAAACTTGATGAGAGATGGATATGTTCGATTTCGCGACGATTCATACTGTAAGATAAATCGGATTGGAAGCGATTCAAACTATCGAGGGATTCATGAGGGATTCGAGCGGATCAGTATTTTCAAATTGAACGCGATAGGCGGAAGAGATTTAGCGAACAAGTTTTAACGACGAACTCGAAGCGTTTCAACGCGCATAAGCTGGCGATTTGTATTAAGCAACTGGCGAAATACGAAAGCAAAATAAAGTTGCAAATTTCAAACTTTGTTAGTGGAACTTCTAAATATAACAAATTAATTGCTCATTCGTAGCAATTACAAACTGTGAATGATGTTTCAACATTTTACACTAAATTGTAATAATAAATGTTGCACTTCTGGTACGAATTAACACGTAAATGCAATAAGAGATATGCGTTAGTTTCGACTCTGTTTAATTGCTAGTTTTACAAGCGGAATGCAACACGCAAGAGAAGCAAACAAAATTTATTACTATGTTTTGCAAACGGGTCAGCAGTGAACACCTTGATCTGGGTATCTGAGTATCTTGTGTCCGATGGACAATCGAATTCCCAATTTACTTCCAACTCGGCATCGATCATCTTATCGGAGGCAGCGATTGGTCTCCATAAAGAGGAAACCGTGACCCATACTTTTCCGCATTGCCTTGACAGGGCTGAAAGCAAATTTAGAAACATAATTCATTGTTTATTATAAATTGAAGAGTAATTTATAAATATTAGATTATTAGAATTATAAAACTATAAGGAATTTTGAGGAAAAAAATTAAATATAGACATGCATATATGAAAATGCAAAACGATTTGTATATCATGTTTATGATTTTATACTATTTACATTTTTCACACTTTCTGCATAATATTTACACAACAAAAAATTAATGTAATCGTCCTGTGCTATGAAATATTCACTTTTTACGTAATATAATTTCGGTGATATGAAGTTTTTTTGGACTCATTTAAAAATACTTACTTGAAATGTATATCATTTTGTGTTTTTATAAATCGTGCTGAAAAATAGTATGATACAAATATAATATTTAGAGTTTACACTCACCAATGCCGCAGAAAACATGAAGAATCAGAACAATTTCTCTCAGCATGATTGAAACGATGAAATTTCGATGAAAAATATCTATCCACCGCTTCCAAGTCAACAATCATGCACTCGTACTTTAATCAGGCAGTTTCTAATTTCTCCGAGCATAACGATAGATACAAAAGTCTTCAAAGTTTCTGAAATTTCCAGTTTATTGACGTATCAACGTTGCATGAAACTTTATTAAATAATGATTTTTTTAGAGTTTGTGTAAAAGTTTGAAAAATAAAAAGATTTTCTATTTAAAATTTAAAGAAAAGTAACCAAATTTGTAAAAAACAAGTGAAAATATTGAAAAAAATATAAGAAAATATATTAATCTTCACCTCTATATTTTTAGACTGTTAAAATTTAATGATAAAATTGTTGCGATCTCTTAGATTTATTTACGTCATAATACCGCCGTATCGAAAATTCATTCCTCCGCTTTTTTCGCGAATAAAAAATTATCCTGCATGCGATTCGTATGGTCTTAGAGATCCAGTCTTCACGCTCAATAACAATGGCGACCTATTCTTTTGATTAACTATGTTTCGTTCCCGCGTCACGCGTAAGAGGACCATTCGATCGGCTTGAAGATGATCATCGTATAAGGAAACCCCGAAAACGTGCGGTATAAAGATTGTGCAGGAAATAAATTCCGATGTCCTGCCAAGAGCGCGGTCCTCGACTGACAACTCAGTGACTGAACGATAGACAGTCGAACGAGCTACCGGTGACCGGAGTAGTTTAATATAGAACCCTACTTTATGCTATATTCAAGTACATTGCGCTTCCATCACATCCTCGGACACGTCAATTAGAGGGACTAACTCGCTCATTTACCTTCCCTACGTCCGTCTCCCCATAGGTCGACTACGTGTGTGCACTCGTTGTTGTACTCGGCTTGATCTCTCGGCATTAAATACTATTTCCTGCGACGGCATCACGGAATATATAGTGTATTTATAGGGAGAGTCGGCGATAAATCCCGAACCCAGCCGACTGATCAATAGCGGTCGACAGATTCTATAGAGGGTGTTTAAAAAAATATTACAATCTTCGAGGGCAGCTAGTATTTATAGAAATAAGGAAAAACTTTGTAACATAGGTCTTAAAGCAAATCACCAAGATACATAAATATTAGAATAAACGCTCAATGGGGTTTCTATCTACTCTTACACAGTATTGAACCTTTTTTTCGCAGAAAAGCATATATTTTTTCAAATACAAAGTAATACAACTTGTCAAACACAGCTAAAAACGCATACAAATGGTATGCGTGAATCTTTGTATTCGGTATATTGAACTGCTATATTTCAGCTGTTTTCCGTGATCGGAAACATGACTCGTAATTTCGAAAGTAATGATTTTAACATCTATGTACACTAAATATTTTTTTCTTTTTTTATAAACACTGGTTGCTCTCAAAGAGTATAATATTTTTTTTAACACTCCGTATATGTTATACTATAACCCTCTTGCACAAGAGATACTGCGTATTAGGAGGGACTGCATCCTGGAGAAAACAGATTAATTATTACGCTTAAACAGAAGCTAGAAATTTATCGATGATATTTTAAAGTGTTCTATGATAAGATATAGAAGAAATATACTTTCTTATTAAGAAAGACTTTCTTAATACATACATTTAGTTATTTATTAACATAATTATCATAATTGTCAAAGTATTTGTTTAGCTTGAGTAATTTTTTGAATTCTGATTGCAAAATTTCCGCCACCCAACCAGCAGAAAATGTTTTTACAAATGTTTTAAAAAATTTTTGAAAATACATTTTTAAAAACATTTTTAAAATATTATAATTATTGGTTAAGTCTCCTTTTATTCATTTAAAAAATGTTTATTTTAATATTTTTTCTACATTGCTATTTTTATATTTATTTAATGTTTATTTATTTTATATGAAATTTCACATTGTTTAAAATGACAATTTAGAGAAAATATTAAAATAAACATTTTTCAAATGAATAAAAAGGGACTTGCCCCTTAATTTTAATGTTTTTTAAAAATGTTTTCCAAAAATTTACAATGTACAATTAATGAACAATAAATATTAAAAATACATTTAAAAATATTGTCTGCTAATTGGGCACTTTAGCTTTCTGAGCTGTGAGTTTTTAAAAATCGTCTAAAAAATTTCCAGTTAAAACTTTGCAATCAATTCAAATTTTGTTTCGAGCGATCTTTATTTGTTTTTGTTTTTAAAGAAATGTTTGATAAGATAAGATTAAGGTTGATAAGATGTTTAATGATTATGAAGAGGTGAAGAGATGATGGTGAAGTTATTGCGGTTGCATACATAGACAATGGAATTATGATATTGGAATATAAAAACTTTTATTCCGACTAAAAAAATGGTGCAACAACCATGATAATTATGTTAAAAAATAATAAAATATAGGTACATATAAAGTGTTCTTACTCGATATTTTAATACATTTTAAAAAAATTTTTATTACGTTTATTTTCTGGACAACTTTTGTATATTTGTTCTTAAATTATTAACGTAAACTTTATCAAACATTCGTATACGCTAATTTAGAGGTAATACAGATATAAATGACAGACGAAGTTATCAATACAACAGATATACAATTTATTTACAGTGTCATGCTTTTTTAAAAGATAACAATACATGTTACGATATACATACATGGATGCAAGCAAGAACTTCGAAATATAAATCTTTGACTATTTGCGTTGGTGTAGACGGAGAATTATAATTTAAAGAAATAGAGAAGAAGTCAAATAAATTCGAAAATGAATATGCCAATAAAATCAATGAAAAGTATCATAACTGCATTTTGAAATATTTTTAATTACAATCATTTTACAATTTTATTTTGTTAATATTAGGACCTTGAATAAGTTCTCGCTGTTTTTTTTGTTAAAAAAAACATTAATTTAAAATATAAGGCTTACAATAACTTTACTCAAAGTATTGTCCATCATTAGAGACCACTTTCTCCCATCTTTCTGGCAGTAATTGAATCCCCCGTCGAAAAAACGATTCATCTTTTGACGCAATCCATGAATCGACCCATTTTTCGGTTTCTTCGAAAGAATGGAAGCGCTGCTCGCTCAAACCATGCGCCATCGACCGAAACAAGTGGTAATCCGAGGGGGCTATGTCCGGTGAATACGGCGGGTGAGGTAGAACTTCCCATTGAAGCGTTTCCAGGTAAGTTTTGACTGGTTTTGCCACATGTGGCCGAGCATTGTCATGTAACAAAATGACTTTGTCGTGTCTCTGCCCGTATAGTGGCCGCTTTTCTTTTAGAGCTCGACTCAAACGCATCATCTGAAGTCGATAGCGAGCTCCCGTGATAGTTTCATTAGGTTTCTTCGTCTTCAAACTTTGTCGGTGCTCCAGAACGTTCTTTATCTTCAAGGTCAAAGTCATTATTTTTAAAGCGCCTAAACCAGTCTCTGCATGTCGTATTCGACAGAGCATTGTCACCATATGTTTCAACAAGAATTCTGTGTGCTTCAGCTGCAGATTTCTTTTGAATAAAGCAGTGCAATAAAATTCCCCGCAAAAACACTTTATTTGGCACAAAAGTAGACATTTTCGCAATAGGTAATTAAACACGTGGTTGACACTGTGGTAAACTGTATCTACTAGAATTTGAGGTTACATATAGTACTACTTAGCTGATGCGTTTCCGTACGAAATTCCATGCACAGAGTGCCGCTACGCCATCTTTTAAGAAACAGCGAGAACTTATTCAAGGACCTAATAATATTATATATCAATATTAAACAAAATTTTTTCTGACACTAATCTAATTAAAATATTAATTCTAATTTTGTATTTGTTTAATATCTTATTTATATCAAGATTGTGATACAAACAAAGACACTTTTAAGGAAAAAAATTATGATACAAATAATTATGAAGAATTATAGTTTGTAGTTAATACTTCTCATTGGCACCGCCGATATTTTATGTATATGCGCGCACGACAAAAAATATACGTCGTTGCGCGCAATCGTGTAGTCTAGGCTACGTTAAATAAATAACATTACCTTGGCAGCTATATTACAGGATTCGAGACATAGGTACAATACATATATATTTTACGCGCGTTAACTTACAGTAACTGCTCTTACCGTGATGCTAAGTTGACGATTATAGTACATGAAGGACGTTAATACGATTTGATTCGCTGAGGTAGATAATTTAATCAGTCTATGAAGCTGCTTTTTTTTCTGTCGGTTGGCTAGCCATTGTTTTATTTGCTGACGAATTTCCGTTCCGACATTATGTAAGAATCAGTTCTGTTTGTCATTGAAAAATTTTACACAGTCTTTCGTGCGTGTAACTGAGTTATGCTGTTGACATGGCAGATTGAATTTGTGATTGATGTACGCGTAGCTGACATAAAAATATTTCGAGATACATTAGGAAAAGGGTAGATTTTTAAAAATAAAAGACAGTGAGGAGACGATCGAAATTAAAAGCATTTGCGAACAGGTACAAAGTTGGAAAGGTTCTATGGAAACGGCATTCTCGTCCGATTTCGGCGACAGAACTCTGTTCCGTGAACATCGTATTAATTCGTAGAACACAGTTACGCACACAAGTTCGGTTATTTTACCTACAAACTACAATAAATTAAGAATATCCGCATGATCATATAGTTATAATAAAATATACACTTCCAATATTCAAAACTCTCGTCTTCCTTTGCCTCTCTCTCTCTCTCTCTCT